GTGGACGCTAGATGGGGGGTTTGCGGCGCGGGGGGGGGGTCATCGAAAGAAAGAGAAAGAAAGAAAAAGAGCCGGGGGAACTCTCGCTTCATTCTTACGTATTACGTGCTGCACGAGTACCAACCGAGTCTTGTATTACACCATTACCGTGACAAAGAGGTCTTCTATGCGAACGCGTTCGAGCGACGAGGATACGGAGACTCACGGTGTATAGAACCGTTGCGATTTTCGCGTGTATATATACATGCGTTTATACACGTGCACATAGACCGCATCGTCGAGATAGATAGGACTTATGCATACGGCTAGATACAGAAAGAAAAGGGGGAGGGGGATAGAAAAAGAGAGGGAAAGAAAAATGAGGGAGATGAGAAAAGTGTAAGGAAGATAGACGGAGAGACTCCTATCGCGACGGACGGCTCGTGTCCGTGTGCCATCGATGGCGTCGTGCATGTGCATCAACGGCGTGTACACACACAGTCACACGGGCAGAACACACACATACGTATACACACCAGCGCGCGTGAATCGAAGCACACGCGTACCAACAATGGTCGGGCGTGTATGAATGTACACGGAAGGAGCAACACCTCGCAAACGAGGCCTAGGCAAGAGAGCTATTTGTAATGTAATAGTGAGAGCACCAGTGGGGAAAGGGAGAGTGGAGGGAAGGTGGTGGTAGGTGGAAGGGCAATGGTGGGAGGAAAGAGTAAGTGGTAGGAAAGAGATACGTAGAGGGAGAACGTGCCCGGGTGAGAGCGAGAAGGGAATAGGTGCCACTCGACGAGGAACCAATACTATGGTCCTTTACAAACGGAACTCACAAGACTCGAGCCCCAGGCCTCCTCTCTAGCGTGAGTATTCCGCCGGGAGTTCTCGAGAGAGAGAGAACCGTGCTTTTCGGACCCTCAACCCTTTCTGGGCTCGCACTGTAAGCCACCGGGGCCCACCTGGCATTTTCTCTACCACCACCACCATCACCACCACCACCATCACCGACCACCGACCACTACCATCGCTGCAGAGTCACCACTACCATCAAACCCATTGGATCGTCATACCGTCACCGTTTCTGACGTTCCCGACGGTGTAGATGGTTTTGTGTGTGTGTGTGGTGTGTGTGGTGTGTAATTGTGTGTTTATGTGTATATATACACGCGTTTCAAGCCGCGCGTGTGCCCACCACTACCATCGAATTGCATCAACCACCACTACCATCGTCACCACCACCACCACCACCGTCTCGTACTGACTGCTCAGTCTACCTCTCTCCGCGTTTACCTAGGACCAGACAGAGAAAGACGGAGAGAGAGCGCGCGCGAAAGAGCCAACAAGAGAGAGGGATAGGCGTAGAGCGAGCAAGAGAGAGAGAGAGAGAGACCGATAGAGAGGAAAGAAAGAGAGCTCTAGAGACAGAGTGAGAGAGAGGGAGAGGGATAGAGAGAAAGAGAGAGGGAGGAAAAGAGAGAGAGGTAAAGAGTAAGAGAGGGTCTCGGCTTTGCGCAAAAGTTACGACGGAGCGAGGAGCAGTGAGACACACCGCGGAGACCGGAAGAGACCCTCTCTCCCTGAAGAAGTCCTCCGGCGTAGTGAGAGAGAGACCACGCGCGAAAAACATATATCGTTTTGATTCGAGTGTGGCGGGCGGCCTCTGTGTGTACATACGCGGGTGCGCGACCAAGTGTGTGGAGCAGTGCTAGAAAAAATAATATCAACGAAACCGAGCACACACGCAACACTGTCAATCCAGTTGTTTTACTTTTTCTTTCGTTTTTTTTGTTGTCATTGTGTAGTTGTCACAAAGCATCGTTGTCGGCTGTACAGCTGTATGCGACTCTTCACGTCGGAAGCTCACGTGGTCCCTGGGTTTCTTTACTTTTTCCGGGTTCCCTCGTGAGAAGAGAGTGCATCAATATACACACACATATACGCACGATTGTTCACCGTAACGCGCGCAACACGACGGTGAATTCCTCACGATTGATCCCCCCGTTGTGTGATTTCACGTCAAAACTCCGTTCCAACGATATACAGTGTGTGTGTGTGTTTCGTCGTTATCGTCGTCGTCGACCAGGAGAGTACGAAGAAACGTTCCTTTGCTCCGAACGAAAACATAGCCACAGAACACGTGCTCATCCGCACGTGCTTTCGTCGATGCACGTGCTCTTTGGACAGGCCCGGTTCCGTGCTCGGGAAGCCGTTCCGGGACACCGGAGGAACGTCGATAGTTCGAACAGTTGACGGTGTCTGTGTGTCGACGCAGCAACAGCCAACCAGCCAGACCTCGTTTCCACTTTCGAAAAAAAAAAACGTTCGGGGAAATTTCGCGCGCAAGCGAGCGATCACTCTGCCAGTACTGTCATCCATCGTCGCGCAATTGTACACAACCTCCAGCAGTGTGGCTGTTTATACGGTCGTGAGGAGGGAAACGAGGATAGAAAGGAACGAGAAAGGTGGCAGTGAGAAAAGGCGAAGAGAGAGAAAGAGAGAGAGAGAGAGAGTGAGGGAAACGAGGAAAAGAAGAAGCTTCAGAAACGAAGAAGAGAGCGAGAAGACCACCTCCGGTTACTGCTCGGTGTTAGAGCCTTGCCTTGCGCGCGCTTACGTGTACACCAAGCAAGAGCGGCGGGCCCCGCGTTGTGTAAGAGCTGAAAGTAAAAGTTGAAACCGCCGAGTTGGGGCTCGCGGGAGCGCGTGCGGAGCGCGCTAAAATCCCGATCCTGTCTCGTAGGCTGGACATAGCCGAATATTCCTGCCTCTCTCTTTCTCTCTCTCTCGCTTACTCGCTCTCTCTCTCTCTCTCTCTCTCTCTCTCTCTCTCTTTCTCTTTCTGGCGACGGTCTTTCTCTACCGAAGTGGCTTTCGGATTTGGTTCCACCGTTCGAGGTTGTTTCTCTCCCCGAGTCGTGTGTGTGTGTGTGGTGTTTGTGTTTGTGTCTCGTAACACCGAGAGAGAACCGATCCGCGGAGCCGTTCCCGCGGAAAGAGCCTACCATCGATTGACTTGTCCCGGGGAATCGTGAACGGTTGGAACTCCAACGAGAACGAAACGAACACACAGAGCAAGCTGAAAGCGACAAAAGAACCGTGGCAATTGTGTAACAACATTTCTAGTCCGTTGCTTCGTGAAATCTGTGCCTAATTCCCGATTGAACGACGATTGGCGAGGTCTGTACGGTATCGCGTGCCAGGGGCCTACTCTGTTTTACAACCGCGGAGAGGAACAGGTGAAAGAAATCGGGGCATACGGTGGACACATACATACACGTGCGTGTGTATGTTTCCGTACCGCTGCCGCGCCGTTTCTGTTCCGCCCTTTCGAATACTCGACCAGGGCCGTGGATCCGGCCGTGGAAGAAAGCGATGGAACAGATCGTTTTCGTGTGGTTCGCATCGTCGTCCGCGGTGAAACGCGCCAGCTCAAGGTCATCCATCGTGTACCAACGGTAACCCGCTTCCGGGACGAAGAAACGAAGCAACTAATAAAGGATAAGACCCAGTGTCAGCAGTGTTGGAGAAGGAAGGGCAACGTCGATCGATTTCGTTGATTGGTGGAATTCGTGTGGCCTGCTGTCTCTTTTGATTCCTTGATCGCGCGGTCCCGTGCGCCACCGCCGCCACCACCGCGTCCGGGCTATAGAAGTTTCGTAAAACGGATTACAAAACCAGAAGAGAAAGGAGACAGAGAAAGGGAGAGGCAGGGACGGAAGAAGAGAAGCAGGTGAGAGGGAGAGAAACAAACGGCTGATTCGCCGCAGGAAATTGTATAGGCAACGATACACGCTGGTGGAGATACGGTGTTCGAGCACGAGTTTCTGGATCGTCCCCGCGGGTGGACGACGGGACACGGACGACACAAAGTCGGGAGTCGTGAAGGAAATCAACCGGGGAGAGAGGAAAAAGTAACCGTGTATTACGCGATGGGGGATATTGGTGCAGGAGGACGAGCTTGAAAGACGATCCGGATGTGGCGCTGGAACCATTTGTCTTCATCCGTGTGGATTACTAATCTTCAGACTCTCTGATTGATGCAATTGGATTTTCTTGGTGGATCTGTGGTAACACGTCATCGCCCCAGAAAACGTTTTCGTCCGATGTGTCCCTGTGGCACACAGGTAAAGACCTCGGGCGAGAGTTTATGAACGGTGTACGGAGACACGCGGTCGAGCGGAATTAAAAGTGCGCTTAAAAAGGTTAGCGGGATAAAAAAGGCGCGCGCGCGAAAGGATAAGAGAAAGGAATAGGAGCCACCTCCGAGTCCTTGAGAGTACCCAACGGGTAAAAGTGCCGCGCGCGGAGCCAGCCGGTTGACCCTGGGCACAGCCAACGGAGCAGACCCCGTTGGAAAAAAGTTCTCCATCGTCGTCGTCGTCGTCGACGTCGACGTCGTCGTTTTCATCGTCATCGTGCTCGTAATTCACGCGGTTATACAGTGTGCGCGCCTGGATTCCACCGTTTTCTCGATCCCAGATTTCGATGTGTTGCGAAATATAAACCAGGGTGTCGAGAGTCACGATCTTTCACGTGTGATATACACCATCGGTATTTATCCCGTGGTCATCGTCGAAGATCAACCGTGTTGCAGATCGATCACATTGGGTGTTTCACTTATCACTTGTCGATTCCAATCTCGAATAGCAACTTCATAGAGAGAGAAAATATTCCGCAACGACAGACGAGCACAAAATCCGCTCGACGGAGATACACCACCACCTTTCACGTATATCGCGGGTATGTGGACGACGGTGTTCAGCAGTGTGAAGTGATTCAGTGCCAGGCCTCGATATTGTCCCGGTTTTTCGGCTTCTGTATCCCCCCATCGTTTTGTTCGACTCCAGGGTTCCGCCTGCGTAACCACCACGACGCGCCGGTGATCTATTTCCTCGGTGGTGATCCACGATCCGGTATATCAATGTACGTCACGTGTATGCACCGTCGTCGTCCTCGTCGCCGCTATCACGGGATTTCGGGTCGTCGGCTCGTGGAGATGCTTCGTGACTCTTCGAGAGAGTCTTAACGGATACATATATATCGCGTTCGCCGAATTGTTTTCTTTGGATACCATATTGGATAAAAGTGCGGACGAACAAAATTACAAGGTAAGACAACACACTACTTCTTTCTCTTTTTTCACACAATAATAATGATAATTACGAGAGACACTTCGTTCACACAGACAGTTGCTTTCGCTCTAAAATGGTCCACAGACGATACGATTTATCGTACGACTAATTTTACAACATAACTTGCTTCGATCGTTGGAAAGACAGTTGCAACGTTTGTGGTGCGGTTGTACAACTTGTAGACATGCTAAAAGTTTTTGCAGCTGTCTCTGCGATACTTGTCGTACAAACTTGAAGTACGATAAATCGCATCGTCCGTGGACCGTTTTAATAACGGGCGTTTCAATCTGGAAACTATTCTAACGCAAACAAATCGGTGGACGGTTCCTTATCTCGTCAAACGGATCCAAAACAGAATCTTGCAACTTTTCTAAATCTCCGTTACTCGCGTTGATAAAACGTGGTGTGGCTCTTTGTACGCGCCAGCTTGAACGATACGGCCGATAATATTTACATAAAACTCGTGTAGTACGCGGTCGCGATTCGTGGCTCCGGCCTCGACGTGCAATTACGAGCACGCGAGAATAAAGAGTACACCCGTGAACAATGTGCAATGAGGGGAATTCTCGAAAGCTTTTTCAATCGTTTTTGTTTTTTGCCCTGACTCGGCCACGTTTCACGGGTGGAAAACGAAGAAACGACAGAATCTCGCGTAACCGATAATGAGGCGATTGCTGGAGCAGCCGTCCAACATTCCACGGGATTGGATGTAGGAGAACCGTGTAAATTAAAGTAGCGACCGTAATTGGAAGCAAAAAACGCCAATCGCGATGTCGAACGTGCTCCTAGAAACGGGCGAATAAATTATGGCGAACCGACGCTGACAATGAGACAATATGACGGAGCCCCCGGGTGTAAATTGCCGCGATTATCGACTTCGTGAAAGTAATTCCCCCCCAGTCGCCATCGGAAAACGCCGCGCCGATTATACGGTCTGACAGAACGACGCGTGGTTTTTGTGTCTTTACGAATTTAAATGGGGACCACTGCATTGGAAAGTATATTCCGAGAAGTTTGTGTCGGAAAGAATCTTGTAATCTATGTACGTTGAAAAATTATTCATTGAGGATCATATATCTTGTACCATCTGCTGACAAATAACTCTTTCGTTGATATTTCTGTAATTGTTAAAAACGTTAACCAGCTACTATCGAGAAACAGAGATGGGCAAATTCATTATCTAGATAAAGTTTCGAATAACGAATAAATCATTGTCAATCGTTTAAACGTGTAAATTCTAATTTTTGTGATAAAATAGTACCTACTTCTCTTGAATGAGTCGGCATTTGGCAAACAGTTATTTCATCTCATTAATTGTTTAAAGCGCAGAATGATGCTCTTAGATACTACAGCTTTTCACTGTGTATTATTCCAATCCAATTGTCCCCAACTGTGCCGAGAAATAAGTAAAAGGAAATCTTTGAAGAGATAAGTTGAAGTCAATAATGTTTGATTAATAGACTGCTGATGTTTATGCAATATGAAATTTTATAAACTAATTCATAAAACCGAAGAATAAAAGTGGGAAGTTCTTTTTTCCATTAAGTATCTTATTGGTTTAAGAATAAAATAGAAAAGTGGTTGCATTTCACGAGAGATTTGTTTTTTATAGTATTTCACAGAGCTCTCTACGCTATAAATGCATAAAATGCTCAGTCTATTGATTAAATACGAACTTTGTAACTTAAAAATGATTCGTAGGCTATATTGTATTAAACCTGTTTCTTATACTTCGATAAATAATAACTTCCAGTAATGTTTGACACAATCTTTTTCTGCGGATCTTGTAAATCTCCATTCCCATAAAGGTCCGCTACGAGAAAAAGAGGTAATAGAATAATAATTCTGTTTCAATGTTTAACGTCTACATTACCGTGCACGTTGTCGATAATTAATTGACGGTCTCTTAGCATGTGTTCAGGGAAATTTCGAGCCGGTCTCGAGATATCGCCGCCGTCGATCGCGTAACGATGCAAAACCTTCTTCTGAACGTATAATTCAAGTTCAGGTGCTCCGTTGGTCGTATATGAACGTTAGTTGCGCAACCGTTTTTAAGAAGACGAAGAAGAAGAAGAGGGGGGAAAAAAAGGAAGAAGGAAGGTGGTGTTCGCGAGTCCAATGTGGTCATCAATGGCTCAGCGATGACGGATCGTAAAGAAAAAGCGATCTTGAGTCAAGGTCGAGTTCGTCGAAAGGCGTCTTTACGTTCCGTCATTTCGTATTCATGTGACCATTATCTGCCGGATATATTTATGTTGCGCTTGTCCCGCATAGTCCGAGACCACGTACATATAGACGTATGCATCCAAACACACACACACACACACACACACACACAGATATATACCCACCCGATGCAAACAGAAAATTACGATCGAGTTGGAAAGGTGAACCGGTCGAAATTCCGGGTTAACTTTACTTAACTAAGGCGTCGCACGTGAATTCTTTTCCCCGGGTTTTAATTAAAGGATAAACGGCCCGTAATCAATTGAATACACTGCTCGAAACAATTAGAGGATTACACAGATTGATAAAAAAAAAGAGTTCATGACTTCTGGGGTAGATAGTACCCGCCAAGTGATGAAAGAAAGTCCTAGTAAACATGGGTCAAAAAATTAATCTCTTCAAAGGTATAAGCAATTTTTTGTTTTGGTTCAAGCGACTGGCTTTCTAGCTTCGGGAGCTATCATACCGTACGGAAATAGTGGATTACCTTATCATTTCTTCTCGTCTTGGTTACAGAAGGTTTTCTACAATTTTTATTAGAGTTTTTACAGTTCTCTTTACTGTCTTCTTCCTGCGATGGCTCCCGAGACGGGGAAGCTGGTCGCTTCAACGGAAACAATAAATTGTTTACACCCTTGAAGATATTAATTTTTAGAACCTATGCTTATTAGGACATTTTTTCATCATTTGGTGAAGACTATTTACCCCAGAAAGTATGAACCTTTTTTTTATTACTGCCTATATTGCAGTCGCTGTAACCGTCATTAATTCTTGGATAATTTTCTTGCAATAACAAAACTAGGCGTTACTTTTGCGCGGGAATAATGTTAATTTTTCAAACCTCTGGTATTTTTTTTTGTATGGATGCAACAGGGTTTTTCACTGTAGCGATCATCTAATTGTTTGGAGCAATGTATTTTTCTGTTCAATCGGTAAAAATATATGTATACTGCCACGTATGATTCTTTCGTGTAATTTATAATAATGCAGAAGAAGATACGTTCAAGGGAAAAATTATACAGTATTCAAAAGGTTTAGACAGAATTCTGGAGCGTGTCGAATCGACCAATCAGTGAGATCATCGTGCGCGAAAGTGTTTTCAAGTCTTGTAGGGAATAATGAATTTAAAAACCAGTTATTTTTAATTGTTTACTGGTAAATAAGATTGGATTATAGTGAATATTTTGACAGAACCCTTAGATTAAAGTTCCATTTTGCATACCATAGATAAATTTTAAATAAGGGTACAGATCATAATTTATAATCTGTTAACCCTCCGTACGCAAACTGGATCGTTTATGTCTAAGCCTAATGTTTTTTACTTTTTGGAGATTTTTACAAAATCTATCAAAATTCTAGGATACTTGTCAAAGCCTCCGTTATATTATATAATCGGTTGTTAAGTCCAATGTCTGACAATTTTTTTAATAAAAACAAAAATTCGGAGAGAAGTCGCGGAAAAGAGGGAATTCGCTTCAACCCATACCTGGTGCCTACGCAGATTTAAATATAGACAATATTTTAACCTTTTTCAACCTTCTTGTGTTTACAATTATATTTCTAGAAATTTTCTTCTTAGAATGGAAAGATTCTGAACAAGAATTTTTCATCGAATGGATTTACGAATACCGATCGATTTCATCCACGTCGCGCATTCATTGTTTAGCGTGCATCATTGATTCATTACAGTATGTAATCGCAACTCTCGAACGATTAATTAACAGCGAGGAAGGCGGTAATGAATACCGGATGTTTGATAGGCCACGATATCCATTCGAAACAATGTCGCGGACTTTTTATGCGGACGATAATCGATACACCCATCGACTAGATTGATCGTGAATCATGCCCAATTGTCGTTACGTAAACGTTTGATAGGCCACGATATCCATTCGAAACAATGTCGCGGACTTTTTATGTCTGACGATAATCGATACACCCATCGACTAGATTGATCGTGAATCATGCCCAATTGTCGTTACGTAAGACGAGTTTACATTTCTTCTCGTAATCGCGGTAGGCAGCGATTTCTTAATTCTTTATCCGTCGTTTCTTCGCCGACTCGCTGTTTTCTTTGTCACAAAACTTTCTCGAAGGAAATCATCACCTGTGATGAATTCTGCATTCATCGATGTGATGCATTCACGAAATCGATATAGAAATGCAGAATGCTACATAATTGCTAGACAGAACACTCTTGATACTAAATACCTGATTATCACGAGCCGATTGTAACTAATATGATTATCACACGATAACTGTAATCCAAGATATTTACGCCATGCATTTACCCCTGTTACGTTAGGTGATAATAAACAAAGAAGAAACAGTACGTTATTGTTCTTTTTTTCGGTCCTAAACAGTATGAAGATACGGCGTGGTAGTAACAACATCCTGCAAAACACGGATGCATAAGCATGCTACTTACCTTCGAATGCTTCTGCAATCCGGTATGAAATTAGTGTGATTAGTCTGGAAACTGGTATCGGTGAGTCGACTTCTCCTACGTGAAATTATCATAATCGTCGATCTTAAACGTTATTCCGTTTCAGGAATGATTCGTGGATTTATTATTCCAGTTTTTCGAATGTTGTGACTTTTTGGAATAATTTAGCTGGCGTTTTGATGAGTCCCTGGTGATCGATATAGCTCACTTTTTGTAAAACACTCGTTTCATATTATTATTTATCCCATGGAGCTCTGATTAATAAGAAAACAGTGATAGACATAAATTCAGATTGCAGTGGACT